GCTGGAAAAGGTAGTATTTGTGTTTTTAAAGATGCTATAAAATTCTGAGGTATTCATAAATAGCTGTAACTACATTATGTGTAGCATATTTGTTTTGGTGCTTATTCCTATGTATTTTTTCATTATTATATATCTCTCCTTAGACTGTAGACTACAATAGTACAGGTGTTTTATATTTGAATAAAATTACAATGAAGTTGACTCCAATATATGGCCGTCCACTTTTTAGGGCTCTTGTTGAAGAACAATGGGAAACACATTTGAATGAATTACTTTTTTGGTATTATTACATTTTATAGGTTAGACTCTGAGCAAAATTCTTCATTGCCTTTTGTGAAGACTATTAATTTTAGATATATAAATTCTTTGAATTAACTTAAGAATGATGGTGCATGATAAGGGACACTGCCATATAACCTGCCCTCCCCATGAGATTGTACTGTCTTGGAGAGTGAACCATTGTTTTAAGTCCTCCTCTAAACAGCAGGCTGTCGGTTCGTGGGGGTCTCTGCTGGAGGCACATGTTACATACTGAGATGACTTCATGCTCTCAATGCTAAAGTTACTTTTGAAAATCACAATGTATTCATTAAGCAATTACTTAACTTCTTACTGTGGTTTCCTCAGAGCTAAGTATGAATTTGTTTTTGTATTTATAGCTATTTTAAGAAGATATTTGCACCCTAGCCGGTTTGGCTCAGTAGATAGAGCACTGGCCTGCAGAGTAAAGGGTCCCGGGTTCGATTCCAGTCAAGGGCACATGCCTGGGTTATTGTGGGATCCTCAGTAGGGGGTGTGCAGAAGGCAGCCAATCAATGATTCTCTCTCATCACTGATGTTTCTCTCTCCCTCTCTGAAATCAATAAAAATATAATAAATAAAAAATATATTTGCACAAAAATTTAAACATTTGTAATGAAAGTATTCTCCAAAAGTAGTACCTAATTACATATGGTGTGCTGATAAACCTTAACAGTGTACTCTAAGAAGATGCTCCTACATTCCCTAGACTGGGTTATATCCACTTTATTTATATGTATTCCCCCATCCGGCATTGTCTTGGAATTATCCGTTTATGTCTGTCTCCCTATTACAACCTTTGCTCTATGGGAAATACTCTTATCTAATTTCATGTGCCTAGTTCAGGAACAAGGGCTTTAAACAAAGCTATTTATCTGAACTGAACAACTTAATGATGAAATTACTATGAATCCCATCATCTTTAACTGTTTTGCTGGTGCCCTATAACAGGTTAGAATTTGGTTCAGAGTTCTTATGTCTTGTTTGGGCAGCGTATTCTTGACCTATTTCTAGGAGTGTTTCACCTGACCTGGCTATTTCAGAATTCTGCTACGGGACTGGGTTCCAGGTGCTCACATCTTGCCTCACCCAGTGGAATGTTTCATCCCTGAGGGTAGGCAGCTGTGTTAGCTTTGCGTTCTGTGCCCTCTTCCAGAAATAACTATACTCGTGCTGGACTGTGAGATCCTCTAGGCCTAGAGCAAAAGCCATGGAAGAAGGTTTCTAGGGTTCAGACTGATGTGGCCACAAAGCAGGGAGCTCAGTAAACTTTTTGTAGTTTCCATTGAGTGCAGCACCCTTTGTGCCTTTGTGCTACGAACAGGGCCAGGCACTGAATCCTCAAAGAAAAAAATCACCTTCAATCATCTTGGCTCATCCTTAAAGTATCGATCTGTGTTATTCTCTGTGCCAGAAGCTTTCATTCATTTTAAACTCTCACAATCCCCCCCTTTTTTTCTTCCCACAGTTTGTCATTTGGGAATGATAGGCAATTCCTAATGGGATTGTTTATACCAGTGGTCGGCAAACTCATTAGTCAACAGAGCCAAATATCAACAGTACAACGATTGAAATTTCTTTTGAGAGCCAAATTTTTTAAACTTAAACTATATAGGTAGGTACATTGTTATTAACTTAATTGGGGTACTCCTAAGCTGGCCTTTGCTAAAAGCGTCCTCAATCTGAGGGGTCGACCTCAGCGAACGTACCCCCACTTCTTCTAAAGCCACTTCTTCAAAATAGACTCGCCCAGGCCGAAAACCGACTTCTGCCCATGGGCCACGAAGTTTCAATCGCACTGTATGCACTGTACGTGCGCGCCCACACGTGGTATTTTGTGGAAGAGCCACACTCAAGGTGCCAAAGAGCCGCATGTGGCTCCCAAGCTGCGGTTTGCCGACCACTGGTTTATACCCTGGAGTCCCGTGGGACCTAAGGTTATGGTAATGTTACTACAGTTATTGTCAAAATCCTTTTATCCGCATGTGGCTCCCGAGCTGCGGTTTGCTGACCACTGGTTTATACCGTGGGACCTAAGGTTATGGTAATGTTGCTACAGTTATTTTCAAAATCCTTTTATTATCAAAAATCGACACATCAAGTGCGTTGAGTGCACTCATCTTAAGTTTAAGGCTCGATGAATTTTTACGTATGTATACATCTTTTAACTACCACTCAAATCAAGACACGGAGCTTTTTAAAACTCTTACTAGATTCCCTTGTGCCCCTTCCATCCCTCCAGAGGTAACCATTATTCTAAACTCTCACACCACTGATAAGTTCTGTAGGAAATGATTCTGGAGAAATGGCATGATTTGGCTGACAATCCCGCGGGCCTGGACGAGGCGCACCCTCGCGCTCTCCTTTTATACCACTCAAATCAAGACACGGAGCTTTTTAAAACTCTTACTAGATTCCCTTGTGCCCCTTCCATCCCTCCAGAGGTAACCATTATTCTAAACTCTCACACCACTGATAAGTTCTGTAGGAAATGATTCTGGAGAAATGGCATGATTTGGCTGACAATCCCGCGGGCCTGGACGAGGCGCACCCTCGCGCTCTCCTTTTAAAGGGCATCCCGCGGTGGTTCCAGGG